AGCTATCATCACGGATAAAAAATTACAATTTATATAAAAATATTTTTTATTTTCTTTTCAAAGTATTAATCAATTCAATGTTGAAAATGTGTGATTATGTAAGTAATTTTTTATATCATACAACAATTGCTCATAATACAAGGTAGACGTATATATAATTACAGAAGAATTACAGAGAAAAATTAATTGAATCTGAATTTTGTGTTTAATTGAAAAACACAAGCAATTCTCATAAAGATTGTCTAAAAAGCTTGATTAATACAAATTAAATATACAAGTATGCAAATATAACTTCAAGTTATTTGATATTGATGTTATTTAAAATCAAAATAGTATATTTAATTAGAAATAATTTTTACATAATTATTGTCAACATTGTTAATATGTTAATTGATAAGTTAATATGATGCGTTAATATAAAATTATAAAAAAGCCATGAAATTATAAATACAAAAATATTTCTTTGTAATAATTATATGATGCATGTCAAAAGAATAAAGGAATTTGTAAAATACGTTGGTCCATTTCCAGAAATTTCGATAGCTTAAGAGAAAGGACAGATTAAATTACTAACGGCACATCAACAGGAAACGTCAACAGAAGCTGAAAGTCCATTAACGTCATTAACATCGTAGAAATGCGTCGTGAACTGCGTTCTCTAAAGGAAAGAAAACAACGGAGAAGACGTATTATTTCTTATCTGAATGATGTTGCGAAGTATTGCGTTACAATGATATGAGGTTACCCAGTCTACTGAGATGCATGAATCATTTTGTTATATTGTTTCATTTGTATATTGCATGTACTATTGCCACGATTAAGTCACGGAAATTTACACATTAATTGTTACAGGATATAACGTATCACAACAGTATTAATTAGTAATTATACGCACATATATCTTCATATATGTCTACGTCTCGAATGCATATGAACTTGAATTATAAATGTTAATTTTCTTTTCCCCTTTATAAATGTCAATTTTCTTTTTTTCTTATAAAATTCAAAGTTTTCATACTTTTACATTTAATTAATTAATTAGCTTACATTTAATTTTAGATAATAAAATTAGATAAAGTGAATTTTGATGATAAATGAGATGATTTATTAATGTATAATGTATTGAAGCCATCAACTTTTACAGTATTATAGAAATATTTTTAATATTTTTTGATATAGTCAAAAGATAAAGAATACCTTAATCTTTCTTATAATATAAACACTTACAATGATAAAGTATTTTAATAGTATAAATATGAAAAAATATTTCTGAAAGACCATTTCATGATTGGATCTTGATGCATCATAATATATAAATTAAAAAAAATAATTATTATGTATCTAGATCCTATTACAAATGATTTTCTTGTATATTTTTTATTTTTTTATATTTATATTTATTTGAACTATTTGTTTGTATTATATTTCGAAGCACATTTGTAACACATATTTTTGCATTCTTCTTCTTTTTGTAATTTGTCAAATTATAAATAAAAAATCAACACAATATGTTTTTATATATTCCGCACCTTGTACTTTCTAATTATTTTACGAAAAATTAATATAAATATAACAAACAGTATAAACAAAAGCTAACAGTCACAGTTTCGCATTCCTTAGACGTTTCTATATTAGATAGACATATGTTATATACATTTATTATAATTATTTTTCTATATATATTCTATATAATTATAATAGATTCAAGCATTGAATTTTAATTTATAAAATAACAAAAGTCTATTATAATAAATATATTAAAAACCGCTTTAGAAACAGTTACTTTTTATATTTTATATATTAAGACATAATTTAGCATATGAAATAAGTTGTACTTCGTTAAACTTTAAAAAAATTTTTTTTATTATTACAGAGAATTCCCATTACATTGGATTAAGTTCAGAAAAGATACACGTATCATTGGTATTGCTGTTCAATTTATTCGCTACGCTAGAAAAAAATTTAGTCCACCTTTTATACATATTTTCTTATTTAATCTTTGACTTATTCTAGATTCACCTATTTTGTGTATGATAAAAGTCTTTTTCTGAAACATATAAAATATACCAATAATTGATATAATTTCTTACCCAATTATAAGACAGTTAATTTATTAACAACTTTTTGCTTACATTCCATAAAATTTAATAAACTTTGCAATAATACGTCAATAATTATTAGCAAAATTATTTTAATAGAACAGTTATAAGACTTCCCATATTTTGAAAATTGAATTTTAAAATACTTTATTTATATACTTGATTCAAATATATCTTTGTATATACGAATCACAAAATCAGATAAATATTCAAAAGTATTATAATATTTAACATGTATTTATTATGATCTATCTATAATTCTGTAATCTAAAACAAGAGTCACTTTTTTCATATAATACATCATTATTTGCATTCGCGTTATAATTCTATTTACACTTGGCAGATGGAAATGGCATTTTGGAGTTGGTCCAAGATTGCGCTTTTAATTTATTCATTAGTAACGATGACACCATTAATCTTTCTCGTGAAATTGATAAAATAATTTTTTTCTTCTTATGTAAAATCAAAAGCAAAAGTTAATCAATATTGCAAAGTTAAAATGGACTGATAGAAGCCATACATAAATTAAAAAAGTTAATTAATCACGGACCGCTGTCATATCTATTAATTATTACATTAATAATAATATTATAATAATTACATAATCATAATAAAAAATAACAATAAAATTATAAATATGATTATAATTACAATGGTAATATAACAGCAATAATAAATAACAATAATAAGGATAAATTTTAGGCAAGCAATAATAATAATGATATATTAATAATATATTATAAATGATAGATGAATGATAGATGAATGATAGCAATCTTAATAATAATAGTAATCAATAGAGAATAAAAATTCGTTATTAGATGATAAAGAATAAATTGCGATGAAGGTTGACAAGTCTTCCAATCAACCATGTCAACCTTTTTAGGATTAGCGATACTAAATGGGCAAAATATCGAAGAAAAACAATCTATTACATTATTCTTTCTTAATATATTATATATCATATATATATATACTATTACACATTATACTTTTTATAATATAAATACTAATTGCTTGTATTTTCTTTTGTGGGACAAAGAATGTAGCAGTATCGATGTCAGTTTTCTAAAATTGTATTTCAGCTCGATTAATGAATTTCGCATTTTACAATATGCGATAGACGAAACTTATAATTCGTGCTACATACGCACGAGTATATTTCAACTCGAAGTACCACAACAACAAACTTCAATAAACACATTCTCTCACTCTCTTGTACGCAATATATTGTTTAACGTTTGACAGCGGTCCGGATATTTACGGACAAGGCGTTCGCTTCTCTTTCAGAGGTCATCGTTACTTGTCACGTAGAGCGCTGTTTAGTCGTTCGTACCGGACGAACCTATCCACACGTATTTGTGTAACGGAGTATTGAGTACGAAGTATTCAGAGTATCGGGCAACACACAGGCGCGAGAGTTCACGAGTTCTGTCTTTTATTTTATTGTCACTTCCATATTCGTGAATAGTGATTCACGCCTGCTTGGGATGCGCTTGGGGTGTAGTCGGTTCTGAGCGAAAACACGACAAAAGAAGCCGGTGTACATAAGGAAAAGAATGGTTATGGCAATCAGCATGTACATGTAGATGTTTAGTTCTGGCTGTCGATATCTGTTCTTACGTAACCACTCGAGAACATCCATTTCTTTGTGCAAGTCACCTGTAGAATAATTAAAATATGATCAAACAGCATCAAAAAAAAAAAGCAATAAGCTGATTTTTATATTATAATTTTTACATTTATTCCTTCTTACCTCTGTAGATACTAGGAAATCGTTTGCGAAAATAGACAATTGCGGGAAGCTTGGTAACTCCCCATTTCCTAGCGTATCTAGGGTCTGCCATTTTGACAAATGTAATATCTAGATTGTCGGTTTCTCCGTCAATTTCTTCCAGTTTCTCGTTGACTGTTTCGCTTTCTTGACTGTCATGCTCATCTGAAAATGATACGTAACAAGAAAAAACGAGATGTAGTAAAAATCGACATTATCATCAAGCATAATAACGTTATAAAATTTCTATTTTTTAAAGTTATATTTGTTGTTTTTGCTCACAAAAGAAGACCGCGAGGAATTCGTTCTCGTCCAACAGTTTGTCTAGCATCTTTCTGTTTACTTCCTCGATCTCATTCTTGATTTCAAACACATCTTGAGAAGTGAGCCATTGTAGAATCTTATCTTCCTGCATAAGATCGCCGTCGTATACAAGCGGCGTTTTCTTTCTGAAGTATACGAGGGATGGAACGTTGAGAATGCCATATTTTTCAGCAGCGTCCGAGTTGGAGATCTTAACAAAGTCAATACCGAAAAGGTCAGCTTCGCCATCGATTTTCTCTAACGCTTCCATAATTTCGTCACATTCCGGACAATCTTCATCATCTAAAAAATATAAAATATATAAATATACTTTTTACACATCTTTTACTAAATGCATTTCCTGAACATTCTTAAGCCATGTGCACAATTTTAAATTTATTTTTTTTTTATTAAAAAAGATTTTTTTAAAACTAAGCTTTACAAAAACATAAATGGTAAAATTATCGTTTTTAATTATACTTTTTTAATTATACTTTTTTAATTAGATTCTACTTTGATAAAATTAGCTCAAAGAATTTTTTTGAAAGAAGAAGTTAGTAAAGATTAGTAAAGACTATACTATATTTTATATATACAGTTTAAGAATTGGAAAATCGATTATTAATAACGTACAAAAGAAAACAGCTAGGAAAGGAGATTCATCGAGAAGTCTTTCTAGCATTCTGTCGTTGACTGATTCTATTTCATCGGCTAATTCTCGATTGTCATCATCGATCAGCCATTCGAGGACGGATTCTTCATTTTGGAGATCCCCTATAATCCCGTATAATAATATTTTGAAATTTTTCATCTTTATTCTTGTTACAAAAAGAGGAAAATATTAGAATATAATAAAAAATAAACAAGTAGAGAATAATGTAATCGTAGATAATAAAACCTTCGAAGAGAAGAGGGTTGCCGTTTCGGAAATAAACAAGGGCTGGAAACGTTTTGATCGAATATCGCTTAGCCAGTTGTGAATCCTGGATTTTCACCATATGAATTCCAAATACATCACATTCGTCATCGATTTTTTCCAAGCCTTCCAGAATCTCGTCGCATATATGACAATTTGGTTTAGCTACAATGAAGACATAGAAGTTATGTTTATATAATATTAGAATATAACGGTGTACATTTTGGTTTTTGATAATAATTAACTTACTAAAGTAAACTGCTAGGTATTGAGTTTCCTCAACAAACGTTTCCAGCATCGCTCGCGTGATCAGTTCAATACGATCCTCTGTTCGTTGAGTAATCAACCATTGTAACACCTCTTCTTCCACAGAGAGATCGCCTATGGACAAATAATTTTAAATAAAATCACTATCAGGAAAGCTAGTCGTCAAAACTGCAAACCTTCAAACACGTTCGGTATTTGATTCTCGAAGTAGACTAGTACTGGTAAATCAGTCACTCCATAATCTTCGGCAACTTTGAAATCCTATAAAATTAAAAGATGTATTCTTATAGATGTTGTCCATTGCAACGGTTGAGAAAAGAAAATTATTTTTAAAATATTATTTTCAATTTTTTTTATATATTTATACTTTTTAATATAAAAAAATTACTGTTATATATTCCATTAAACTGTTATATTAAAAATTATACATGTTTAAACCACATAATAACAAATTAACACAAATAATTCATTTTTTAATTTTTAAGAGATTCAAAGAAATAAAGCATTATATAAAATTCTCTTTCTGTATATATTACTAATAGACTTATTAGATTTATTTATTTAATGTAGAAAAGCATAAAATATAAGAAAAGATAAAAAAGCGATTCTCACACATCGCTTACATTTTCACTTACTTGCGTTTTTATAAATGTAATGCCGTGCCTGTCGCAATCGTCGTCAATGTTCTCCAATTCCTCGAGTATTCCCACGCATTGCGCACAATCGTCGGGATCTGAGGAGAGATTCTGTTATTATCAAATTTTTTATCGCGAATTTGTGATTTCAAATAATCTATCTACTTGAAAAATATAAAGACAATACTAAATGAACAGAAGATCGCACATCGATTTCGTTGTTGTAAATGGTCTACTCGATACGAGGGAGAAATCTGCTAAATACAAAGCATATACACGTAACGAAGTGTGAGTAATACAAGGATCGTCTACAATCTATATGTGTGACGATTGAACTCTCAATGATATTAGAGTATCTATCTTATCGATGGAATAAGCAAAAATTTTGCATGCTCATCGGGATCTGTAGGTGACTACTGCTTGGCTGCTTGTGTTCTATTCTCATGTCGCATGCTTTGCTCTCGTGCACGTGCACCTGTGTAACTGTGTAACTGTACATAGAAAAAATATATATGAAACAGAAATAATGAGAGAAAGATAAAGAGGAGAATATTTCTTTGGAGAAAGCGTCCTACGAATATTCGGCCTGGGAAGTGGCGGTTCTACGTCCAATTGTCTATTAGCTATAAAATCAAGAATAATTAGAGAAACACTGATGATTAATAAAGAATCTTGGAGTACAATTTCATTCTTTATAAAAAAATATGAAAAAATTTATTTATATAGTTAGTAACAAAATTACGTTGTCGATCATCAGTATTCCTTTTTTTTTTTTTACTTTTCCTATGGGAATCCGCATGCACTACAATGGCACGCGTTATCAAGTTTCCGTATCCGGCAAAGCTCATGTATTGTGTACTGATAAATCGCACGCGATTATACACGAAAAAAAAAGTTTTGCTTATAATGTGCTGTATAATTTATATTCTCAGAAGATATCATTATTTGTTATAATAGAACTTATTAAGAATGTTAACTTTATTTTCTAGACATGATTGTGCTGAATTATTTAATAAATTACTTTACTACAATCATAAATTAATTCATATTTCACTATTATAACAATTTAATTATGACAAAATGCATTCTGAGTAAATTGCTTTTTTTTCACAGCTAATCCTTACATTGTTACAAGCACATGTTTAATAAAAATTTACCAATAATAGATTTTATCATAATATCAAGTCATATGAATGTTTTGTCGCTTATATACACATTGAATATTAATAATAGCCGATTTCTTTTTCTTCGTGTGAGTTTTATGCATATGCTAGGAATAAATCTCGGTTGTAATCGAGATAATTGAAACATAGACTATAAAATACAGAAAAATAGAAAGAGGAGAAACAAAGAGGAAGGGAGAAAAAGAAAGAGAAAGAGACGTAGACAGCAAGGAAGCTCAGGGCATCGATAAATTTTGATCTTGCTTTGATCTGTTGTACCATCGAGGTTCTCGGCCGCCTCTGCGTGTTCCGCGGTCCTGTGCTCCTGCTTGTGGCGCATCTGCTTGCGGTACGTTTTTGATTGGCACATGTCGCAAAGCGTTCTGTTCCCTACGGAATCAGTACACAAAGTGTCGGAGCAAAAAGTCGACAGCGATAACGTAACAGAAAGAATTAGAAGAGAGTCCCAGATAAACAAATTAATGTTTGTTATAGATAGTTAGAAATCTCTTCATTATATAATATATAATTAAATAATATAAATATTAATTTTATGACATAAGGATTATGAAGTCGGAAGAGGAAAAACTGTAGTAAAAACACAGAAGTGAAACACTACAAGGATATCGCAATATCCTTTTAATATTCCGCAAAGTTGTCTTCTTACGGAAATTTTCCTGCTGAAAAGCAGTTTTTTGTCCAATCTCACTGCTTTGAGAAAACAAATGTAGGTACTATATAAGAGTTAGGTACTATATAAGACAAACTGTCAGTCATTACAAATATGTGTTTGTCGAAACAATAATATCGCAATATTAATAACGCAATAAAGATAAAATAAGTGAAAGAAAAAATAGAGCGCATTAGTAATAACTGTCTTGTAATTTATCATGAAATTATTTGAAGGGTTTAGGAACTTACAGAAATACACGGCTAAAGATTCCGATTCTCGTATCAAATTTAAAAGTTCTTCTCCTTCCAGAGCCTCGATTACTTCACCCGATGGATCCTTTTGCGTCAGCAACCATTGCAAAATCTGTTCCTCATCGTACAGATCACCTGTCAAAGATTTTCTTTAACTTTCGTAATTATGTCAACAGATGGATTTGAATAATTCATCTTGTACCTGCGTATATAACTGGCTCCTTCGATCCCATCTTGAAGAAGAGTATAGCAGGTAATGCGAAAACGCCATATTGTTTAGACAATTGTTTGTCATCGATTTTAACAAACTTAATACCGGCGCTGTCAGCCTCGTCATCGATGTGTTCAATTTCCGCCAATACTCGGCCGCACTGTTTGCAGTCGTTGCTGTCTAAACAAACGCGCGACGTATTAAACATGATAAACGCAGATGAAATCATTCCCATTAAATATTACATTACTATATACACTCACAAAAAAATACGGCTAGATAATCGGTTGTTTGTCGAACTTTCTGAAACATCTTCTTGTTGATGCGTTCTATGTGATCGGTGAGTTCCATATTTTCCGGGTTGGTCAACCAGTCAAGAATCTCTTCCTCGTCATCGATGTCACCATCGTAATTGATGTTCTTACCTTTACGGAAGTAAGTAATACCAGGTGGATTTCGAAAACCATATTTCTTTGCCATTAACCGATCCTTCATCCTGACGATTTTTATTCCGTATTCCGCAGCTTCATCGTCAATCAATTCGATATGCCTAAGTACTCTAGGACTCTCCGGATCCTCTTCTTTGTCTGAATATGTTTCGTTATGTGTAAAATTCTGTGTAATTATAACATCTCCCACTTTTTTGATTATAATATGAAAGTTTTTTTACTAAGTGTATTACAAGATTATATATAAAATGGCTCGCCACTAATAATACAAAAAAGTAAAGATAATTTTAATAAATACGAGATAAAATCTTTCTAGACGAAATTTTGTATTTGAGAAAATTGAATTTAAGAAAAAAAATCAGAAAATTATTTTTTTTGTTTTAAATATATGTGATTTTTAATTTTTAACGATATTTCCTTTAAATAAAACGTATTTTAATAGAAACAGATTCTATTAAAATATGAAATTTTTTTAGAATTTTGAATATAAAATTTTTTTATAAAAATATGAT